TGATACAACGGTTTATTCCTGTGATGGCTGTACTGATTTGATAGGCAATGCTTGTGCTTTAATTCACTAGCCAAAGGGCTTGACGTGTGATCTGTGGTAGACAGGTATGGTACCTATAGTTGGTTAATGTTTGTATTGTATTAGCCTGTTACTATCTTGGGTCTGCCACATGATACCAGGATGTGATTTGAGGAAATCCAGATAAAATTGGTTGTCCTTGGTGTTTTTCATGGTGAAAAGGGTCATATACATGTTTGCTTAATTTGGACTATTTAGACATCTTTTCCATCTGTTTAAGAGTCTGAACAAGTTTTATTGGGACTATAAATGTCGAAATAGTTCTAAGCACTAGGGATGAGCATTAGCAGCATTCCATTTGATTCTGTGGATTAATCCTTAATTATTTAGCTTGCTAAAATGTAAGCAGCTACAGAAGCCAAGGGGTAAAAGTTATGGGATCCGATCAGGAGAGAGGCTCTTGACTTGTGTTTTTTTAATTTTATAAAATTTAACTTGTATTATAGGTTTGAGTATCACTTTTGGTGTAATTATTGATTTATGAATGAGATGAATTAGTTTGGAAAGTAACATGATTCTTGATAACCGAGAAAATGTTAGCTGTTGAAACACCAAAGAGGCACCCCTTTTAACTAGTCTCCTGCCATTGTGAGTTCTAAGTGTAGTCAATGTATGTACTCTTACCCTTGCTAGCAAAAAGGTATTTGACACCCAGGGAGCCAAGGAACAACCTTATCCAGGCACCAAGATCGCCAGCTAATGATAATTCCTTTCTCTTTTCTTCCATGAAAATCATGTTGCTACTCACCCATTATGTGCTGTCCTTTCACAAGTATTCATGCTGGACATGGCTTTGGCAACTTTTGTTGAGATATCAAGTGCATCCTTGCTCGTCTATTACTTGCATGCAGCCCTATCCTATGAAACGAATTAATAAACTACCAGCACCCACTGGCACCATCACTTATCAGCTGACATACTATTGTCACAAGGTTTCATGCTTTTTTAAGGGTACTCATCCAGGAGCACTTTATGAATTGTCAGACTTTGCATACTGTTATGCTGACTATTATATTACTGAATGTTCCATGTAGGCAGCACCAGAATCCTTATCAAGTAGTTCCAGTCTATTTTTTGGGAGTATCCTAGTTTAAGGAGTTAGGTTAATTGGCCGCTGGAAAGTTCCATGCGAGCTTATTGAGTTATCGTGACACTTGATGCAGCATTATGTGCCAAACTTACTTGTTGAGCTGTTGTGCAACTCAACAGAATTGTGTTAGAATGACACCATAAGTAAAATAAAAGGGGGATGTGAGGAGCGTGAAACTCATCAATTTGAAGTTCAGATTAGTAGTGACTGGGCTGCTATCTCTTCGCCACCAGTCATTGTTCATTGGCTGCAGATGTCAAGTTGCTTATGAGATATAGGAGGGCATTGGCTGCAGAACAAGTTTCAGATGCAGCCCTTAAGAATCAGTTTGATCCTATTTGAAATGTAAACATTCAGGTTGCTTTAATGTTTATATCGTTTGAACCAAGGAATCAAATACCGTTTACTGATAATTCTGTCATAATCTAATTGAATTGGAAATGGTATAGCCAATGATTTAAATATTGGTCCAATGGTGATATTGGAACCTATCAGATGGAACCTGTCATACCCCCAATGATGCCAATATACTGAATGGTATGTCAACCTCGTATGGGCTTGTGCAAAGTGACACATGGTATGTGTGCATGGACCTTTATGACATCTCACAATTTTACATTGATAGCCAGCATGTCTCTTATGTAATTATCATCCTTTTGTTAAAATTTATATCTACCATTTAACTTCATATAATGTTTGGTTTAAACAACCATGATTCTGTAAGGTTTATGCTTCATATTGATTTCAGCATATACCTGCCATCCTAAACATATCGACTGAGTCCAGATGCTTTGTATTAAAAAATAATCAAGCTCATGAACTATGCTCCCCCCACTCCAAAGAAGAATAAAGGAACAGGATGGAAGGGTCAACTAGAAATGAATAGAAAAAAGAAACCCATCCAAATGATGGTGACAATTTGAGCTCAGTGACAATCCGAAATGTTGGTTAATATATGGTAGTGGTTCAATCCATGGATTATTTCAGTAGATATTTTCCTTTACAAGGATTCGATTTACTCTTAAAAGAAAATTGGTATCTTCCATAATTTTCGATTATACATGATTATTGCAATTGGTCACCCCTTTTATCATATATATTTTTTTTTTGTCCCACAAGATGTGCAAGGCCTCTGACAAATTGCTCATAAAGTAATTATCAGCTATTGAGTTTTTGATTCATTATGACAATTTCTATCACTTTCTTTTGGGTTTACAAGTAATTGTTTCATGCTGATATTTACTCAGGATATTGAGTTATCGAAAGAAATAAATGACTCCTTTAAACAATCATCCCAAGCCAGGACAAAACTTCCAACTGGCATCGAAATGAGTGTTCATGTTTTGACAACCGGGTGGGTGTTGCCTGTTTGTTTTATTTCAATCAAATCATTTAGGCCTTTTTAATGATGCTGTGGGCGAGTTAGCAGTGCTGTTTAATGCCAACTTTCCTGCTTCTGGTGCTTTCAGGTATTGGCCAACGTATCCTCCTATGGATGTCCGACTTCCTCATGAATTGAATGTTTATCAGGTTTGATCATGATAATCTGTGCAATAAAATTCTATTTACAATCGATTTTCTATTGTATGTAATATCCTGCCTTCTATTTACATCACAATAGGATATATTCAAAGAGTTCTATTTGAGTAAGTACCACGGGAGGCGTTTAATGTGGCAAAATTCATTAGGTCATTGTGTTCTAAAAGCTGAATTTCCAAAAGGCAAAAAGGAATTATCGGTATCACTATTTCAGGTGGGTCTTCTGATCTTTGGTTAATGCTAGTATTGATCCAAGTTAACATTCATCTAAGGATATTTTGGGATTTTTCATGTGTTCAGACTGTTGTTCTAATGCTTTTCAACGATACTCAAAAGCTTAGCTTCCAAGACATTAAGGACTCCACTGGCATTGATGATAAAGAGCTGAGGAGGACTTTGCAGTCACTTGCATGTGGCAAAGTTCGAGTTTTACAGAAGGTAAATCCTGGCTTCAAGCATATATTCCTTGTTGTCCATCTATTTATTCCAAATGTTCTTTCTTCTGCAGATCCCAAAAGGAAGAGAGATAGAAGATGATGACTCTTTTGTATTCAATGAAGAATTCAGTGCTCCTCTGTATCGCCTTAAGGTAAATTTCCTCCATTGTGAAATCAAATCAATTTTTGGTTTCAACTGGTAGAGCTAAATGTGTTTTTCCAGGTCAATGCAATCCAGATGAAGGAAACAGTGGAGGAAAACACAAGCACGACTGAAAGAGTATTCCAGGATCGTCAGTATCAGGTCTGTTTCATAAGCAGATTGCTAACTACTCAACCCATTCCTAACCAAATGACTGAATGAAGATTTTAATTCCCTGAGCAAACTGAGTGTTATTTGTTTATCGGTAGTAGTAATGCAATTGTCTTGATAAAAATTATCACAAATCCAGAGATCATATGTATGCTTGTTAAAAATTATCAGTAATTGGGTGAGACAATTGTATAACTGAAGGTGTTGTACTTCAGTAATTTGCAGTCATACGAGGAGTATAAATGAGAATGAATGCATTATACAGCATTAAGACATAGAGAATGGTACATAAAAAGGGTAAAATAGCATAGCCAATAGTATACACTCAAGAGAATTTGTGGAACTATTGTAGTTTGCAGTGGCATTGACTTTTTATTACGGCTAAAATATATTTCCTTACTACTTGTTATATTTACGTGGTAAGTGTTTTATGAGAGTTGTGTTCAAGTGATTGTCCCTTTTTTAGCATTATACAATGATACAATGACATTAGTGATGTAGCTGGACATAGGTGGATCTTTAATGTCGAATTAGCAATGAAAAATATATAGATCAAGTATGAATAATTAACATATTAAATGCCAATGGATTCCTTATACTGAACTTGAATGCCGGACTATTCTTGCATTTCTTGATTTGATCTTGTTAAATGAATGCCTCATTTACCCATGAATTGGTAGGTAGGCTTCTAGAAAGATAGACCGAGATTTTCTTCCAATTTGCTATATTCCTTGATGTTGCCACCTTTTCATCACAGGTTGATGCGGCTATTGTTCGTATCATGAAGACAAGGAAAGTACTTAGCCACACACTCTTAATTACTGAACTCTTTCAGCAGGTATCATGCCATCTAGTCTGCATTCTTTTCTTGTTACTTGTTTAATTTTCTAATCGTTCTGCATGATTCTTGTAGCTTAAATTTCCGATAAAGCCTGCGGACCTGAAGAAAAGGATAGAGAGCCTCATCGATAGGGAATACTTGGAGAGGGACAAGAACAACCCCCAGATCTACAACTATCTAGCATGATTTATATGGTAGCCATTTCCCAAAACATCAACCTTGTACAGGGGACTGTAACTTCTTTTTGTCAACAATGGTTTCTTACTACAAAAAATATCACGCTTCATTTCTTCTGCTTTAGAATCTATCATGATGTTTCCATGATAACTAGGTGTCCCGTTTGCAGTGTCCTACATGAATGGACTACCATCAAGGATCAGCCCTATGGCTATTTTACTTGTTCCCTTGGATGCCAGAGATGTTGCTACTGGCTCCCGCAGGAGTACCAGAAGATGAAATCCACTCAGATGTTAGAATACATAGTGATAACAGAATTAGTTATAGTATATTTTTATTCAAAGAGCATGTTTGATTCTATCAATCATGGAAGTGAGGCTGGCCAATTTAAGTTTCTGGCAATATCAGTCCCATTTGCTATGCTCGATTCTTGATTCTGCAAAAACCTGGTGGGCGACAAGTTTATCATCAGATTGTCTACGTCAATTCTATTAGCATCAGTCAACATGGTTGTGCAAGTAGGAATTGAGTCTCATAATCCCACAAGATGTTGCAAATCTTTCTGAAAATTGTGATAACTATCACTGTTCAAACCATAAAAAGTTGAGATCCTCACCATGCAGTAAGCCACTCAAATTAACAGGCTATCAGTTCTTTACTTGTTTCTCTTCACAGGGAATGTGACAAGATAGCCAGGTCCAACAACTCTGAAAGACCTGGTTAGTGTTCTAATCTGAGTACAGTGTCACCTTCTTTACTGCTTTAAATGGTAGTTGCAATCTCCAGTCTCTCTGCTTTCGACTCAATGGCCTTCCTTTTCCACTCTCAGCTCTGTTCTCCCTTACATCTGCCAGCTTCCAAACACATAGCCTGGCATCCGCATCGATCAACTCTATCAAGAATACTCCAACCTTTTGCTGGTGGCGCTTCGACTCGGCAGCTTCTTCTTCTTCAAGGTATTGCACTCTCACTGGCATCTCTTTAAACCGATTCAGATCCTCAGGAACCTTTAACAGCCGTTCAGCTCCAGGTGATGATACCTGAAGCAAATTTGAGTGGTAAACGTCTTATATCTCACTACCATGCTTGTCAAAGATAAAAGCAAGTGCAGTTGCTTTACCTCTAAAGCTAAATCCAGCGGCATCTCTCCAGATTCTAGCATCTCATCCAGTCGCTTCTTATAGAGACTATTGAAACTCTCAATTTCCTCGATGCTTGGACATCCATATCTAGAGGTCAATAGCAGCTGATCAGTAGATGCAACAAGTTTTACCAACCACATAAAGAACAAATGAAAAGGAACAATCCCCAGCAAACCCTAATTTTAAACAGATTTATGATAAAATTAGAACACTTATTGCTCTGTTAAAATTCGACATAAATCTTTGGAAATTTCATAGTTTAGCTCTAAGATTATAAACATTCATAAATCATCAAAGAGACCCTAAATTTGTTTATAACGATTCAAATGGGTGTCGTGTGATGCTTGCTCATTGACTTGATAGTAGATGGCCATGCCTAAAAGACTGTGTTATCATTGGAAAAACAGTTTGAGTGGCATGTCTTTGATCTCACAAGACTGTGACATTATACCTGATACCATCCTAGTCTACTGAAGTTGGCATGTGGCCAAGCTAGATTGTCCAGTTCATCCTGCGGTGTGATGATAGATATCAAAGATCTCTTTCAAATGGGTTATCGTAATAATAGAGATGATAGCAAGAATAATATGCAATATGAACCTTATAGTTTCAAAATTGAAAAATCTGATCCATCATGTAGCTCTAATTTCTGAGCAGGTTTATTACTGGTTCAGGAAATGATAAAGCTTTTCCATGTAGAAGTAGAGTGAAAGCCAAGATGAACAAGATGACTCATATGTTATTTCAAGAATTGGAACAAGTCTTTTTCATTCTTATTTATATACTAGACCTCATGGAATTATCATTTACCTGTAAGGTTATATCTATTACAAATTTTTAATCATTACATTCTACCTTAAAATCTAGACTTCTTCAAATCAAAGAAAAATTTATGAAGAATTGCTCCTTGACTTGGCGAGCCTAAAGCATGAAAAGTGAGGTAGTTTTATGTATGTCCAACAATGAATTGGTGTTGATGTCCAGTTGGACTAGATTCACAACTTAGTTAATCTAGCTATGAAGCAACCAACACCAACAACCTAGAAAGTAGAAACTATGTTAATGACAGCCTATAATCAATGGAGCTCATGGAATGGAGATTACGAGTGCAATAATTTCTTTTAGACAAAATTGGAGAATAAGAAGAGAGGACCCAGAGTTATCTACAATATAGTGGCCCAATCAAAATCTTACTTGATATTGCAAACCAAAATCTTCCGCAAGAGTTATGAATTTGTAAGCAAAAGAAGACACTATTGCAGAATGAACTATTAAAGAGAAATAAAACACCCTACAAGTGGAAGGTAATCAAACTCATGATAAGTTGGACACCACAAACAATCACTTCTCCAGTTCCTAGTTCCTGCATGTGTGATTTTTTGTCCAGCATCCAAAGAAACTAGCTTTCCACGGGAGCTATTCCATCCAACTAAATAAGAGAAGTAGCTCTACACTTATTCAAGGGATCTTATAACTAACTGTGATCATCTACTGTGTTTGATGCTAAGATAAGCATCTAACATAGCAATCAACCAAGCTAAAGAGATATTCAAACAACAGTGAGAGAGAATGACTCACTTGTTAGTGAGCTTATCAAGCCGCACGTAGACGTATCCTCGTGGAGACACCTTTAAAGCGTACATCACCAAATCCTCACCAAAATGAAGGTCAAGCACCTCGCGAGCGACGGACAGAACCCGTTCGCCCCACCTGACACCGCCCAACACCACTCCACCACCGTCCCCTCCATCTCCAAGCTAAACATGAACAGCAAAAGGAATCAATCAAAATCAAAATGCTGTGTCTTCCCTTAATATTACATTGAGAAAAATGCAAGCATACCACCGGCTCTGCCTCTTCCTCTTCTTCCCACTCGATCATGCATTCTTCGACTTCAGATTCATCTGCAACCAAACTCAGCGAGTTTGAGATAGTAGTTGCGTCACGGGAATAACAACAAACACATTGCGTGACTGAAGAACCACAACAACAACAGATGAAACTACGTGAAAAGAAGGCAGCTTTCATGACCTGGTTGCTCCCCGCCTCGTCTACGAATGGAGGCGGAGGAGAAGAGAGCGGCACGGAGTGGAGGCCAGGCGGTGTGCGGATGGAGGAGAAGGCGCCTCTCGATGAAGGACGAGAAGCTTCTGGGGAAGGAAAAGGGGATAGAGAAGGGGGAAGAAGACGACTTTCCGGTGTATGGAGATCGATACCGAGAGAGGAAGCGGCTGATGAGTCGAGACGTCGAGCGCCGCCGTTCCGCCGCCAAGAGCAGCGACAACGGCCGCTGTAGTGCCGCCTGCCTCATTACACACCTCTACGGAGCGGCGTGATGGAGAGAGGCAGACATGTTGACATTACACATCTTTTGTGTTATACACGCGCGCGCACGCGCACACACACAAATATATATATATATATATATATATATATATATATATATATATATATATATATATTAAAATTCATAGTTTTAATATGCGATTTCGAAAGATTCAAAGTATAATATGTCAAGCGCTCGTTTCAATATTACGAAGAGAATCGAACACTAATTCACCAGTAGGCCCATAAATGATGGCCTGTTAAGCGGAGCAGATTTGGGCCTCACAACGATCCAGGCCTACCGAAGCCCACAAACTCCAACCCGTAAGCGATCGCCGTCCGTTGTCACGCATGCACGAAATCTAAAGCACGGGAACCAAACGAGCTGCCAAAACCCTTGATGCACGCCGGATGAGATCATACCTTCTCCATCCGACGACCCATAATTCGCTCGACACACTACTCACTTCATTTTAAGCCCGGCTCGCCCCTGCCGTGAGCAAACCCTAGCCGATCGCCGCAGAGGAGCTCCTCGCGTCCGAGCCATGGGTGAGTCTCTCTCTCTCTCTCTCTCTCTCTCGGTACGTGTGGTTGATCTGACTGTGCTGTGGTTGGTTGGTCTTTGGGTGAGGTTTCAGGGGCGTACAAGTACGTGTCGGAGCTATGGAGGAAGAAGCAGTCGGACGTGATGCGGTTCCTGCAGCGGGTGCGGTGCTGGGAGTACCGACAGCTCCCGTCGATCGTGCGCGTCACGAGGCCAACGCGCCCCGACAAGGCTCGGCGCCTTGGTTTCAAGGCTAAGCAGGTAGATCGGCGTCGTTTCTTCCGCCACATAGCATTCTAGACATGTGTTTGCTGTTCTCGTTGTAGAGCATTTGTGTGTGAGAATAGTGCTCTTAAATCCTATTGTATTCTTCTCGATTTGCTTGCAACATTAAGTTTATGCTCGGTGGATTTGTTTTGTAAGAGCAATTTGTTCTTGAATCTGTTTGATTTAATTTAGGGACCAATTTGAGGAGCGAGACGAGAGTTTGGTTTCGTTCGCCTTTTAAGATGAGATGGGATTTTGGCTTTGTAGTTACGTGAAAAAACTGCTCTTTATGGTTTATCATCGTATTGTTTCTGAAATTCTATTTCTGGGTGGACATAAACAAGCTCTGCCTTTATCTCATTCTGTAAAAAATGAGGCGCATGATTTTGAAAATATGTTAGAAATAATGTGCTTTATTGATAGTTGTATGAAGAAGAAACTTTGTTTGGTGGACAACAATATTGCAATATGATTAGTGGATCTTCTGTAGAAGTATACACCTGTTGGATCGGAAAATCTATGATCTAGCTTAGAGAAAGACAGTGACAAAATCCTCATCTATTAGGATATGAATTTTATGTGATTAATGACCTTAGTATGGGCAATATACCAGTATCGAAATGGTAAAATATACTGATTGTTCTTGATCTTGTCTGGGTGAACTAGCAAGAAATAGTACGTGTGGAACAGCCTAGTCATGATATTATGAGGGACATTTTTGTAGTTGCGACTGTTCTAATTGTTGTCTTGTGTACTAGTTTGGTGTTTGTTTCATTCCCTTTGATTGTTTATCATTATTGAAGATGGATAATGAATTTATTTTCTGTTATTGTCAATGTTATTATTTGTTGTTATGAGTCTAATTTGATTGGAAAGTTAGGGTAATGTTGGAGTGGTCGATTCATCTGTGAATAAAAGTAGGCTCTTAATGGCTGCTGATTCTTATCAAGTATCGATTCAACTGAACTTTTAATGAAGAAACTCAGTTTTTGAATTAGCTTTGATGCCAATTTTTTCTTTTGATCATTTCATTTATATGCCTATATGTGCCTTCTAATGCAGAGGTATGAATCTCGTGGATGTTGTAATTGAGAATGCGGATAGGCATCTAATATGTTGAGGGATCCTGTTAGTTTAGAGGACAATTTTTGCACATTTTATGCAAGTTTATGATTCCAAAATTCTCAATTAGATTTGGTCTAGGAACTTCCTAATGTTCAATCTGAAGTATAATAATCATTTGTATCCTGTGATATTGATCAACGGTTCATCCGCAACCTACTGAAGATATAGTGAACCAAACAAAGAGTTTAATTGCCTATAAAAATGTGTTATATCAGGTCATGTAACAGGCTATCTTTATCTTTAATTCATGATCTTTTCTCAAGTTGGAGCTTTATTAGATGTACTCTATTGTTAATGCTACATTTATCTTTAATACATGGTCATTTTTCAAGTTGGAGCTTTAATGCTATTCATTTTATAAGTTTTCCAGGTGCTTTTTATAGTCTAGCTGATTTGAAACATTTTCCATATATGCATTGTGTTATATTAAACTTGGTTACAAAGAATATTTGCATTTGCAATCCATGCCTACCTTTGTAAATAGTGAGTTTCTAGAGACAACACTGTTTCTCCTTCTCTGCTCCAATTTTGTTCTTCAGTTGTTATGTTGCTAATAATGTTTTATTCTTAACATGTAGGGTTATGTGATTTACCGAGTCCGTGTTAGACGCGGTGGCAGGAAGAGGCCAGTTCCCAAGGGTATTGTCTATGGAAAGCCCAAGCATCAGGGTATCACTCAGCTCAAGTTCCAGAGAAACAAGCGCTCGGTTGCAGAGGAGAGAGCTGGTCGTAAGTTAGGAGGCCTCAGGGTCCTCAACTCTTACTGGGTCAATGAGGTCAGCCATCTTGCTTTATCCTAGACTTACTAGCTTTTTATCTTCATGAACATTCTTTACATTTTGAACTTAATTCAATGAATTAACTTGTAGCATTTTATGTTACACAGGATTCAACTTACAAATATTATGAGATTATTCTTATCGATCCGGCTCATGGTGCAATTCGCAACGACCCTAGGATCAACTGGATTTGCAAGGGAGTTCACAAGCACCGTGAGTTACGTGGTCTCACTTCAGCTGGTAAGAAGTACAGGGGTCTTCGCGGCAAAGGTCACCTTCATCACAAGGCCAGACCATCTCGAAGGGCAACCTGGAAGAGGAACCAGACATTGTCGCTTCGCCGATACCGCTAAGCTACCTTGTCTGTCTAATTTTGTTGCCAATTTGATTCTGCTTAAACTTGCAATTTAATTACTTTTTTTGTTATCATTGTCTTGAGTTGTTCTTGGACGACTCAAGTTTGTCAGGTTGCCTAATGGTATCCCCGAGTATTGTGTTTGATTTCATATGATAATTCAGAAATGTCTTTTATGTTCGGTGCCCTATCCTCTCTTGTGCTTCACAAGTATGCAAATTGCTACGAATCCGTGTTCCTTCTATCCTTCAATGTTTGGGGTTCGCATGTGGAGCACAAAACCTCTACACAAACCTGACTTAGGTTCGATTTGGTTTTGTTTTTGTTTGTTAGGTGATTTGTTGATTTCAAACGGAATTAAAATTTCAGGCAATTCGATTTTGTTTCTAGTTTTGAAGAATTGAAATTGTTGATTTTATGATTTTTTTTAATTAAAAAGATTTGAATCTCCTTGTAATTGTCTCAATTGGATTTTTAAATTTAAAGAATGAGAAGGAATGAAATCTTTTACGAGTATATTGAGAAGAAATATCCGACATAAGCTTGTATAAAAAAATCAAATCCAAATTTTTGGGTGCCTCATTAGTCTTTTTTTATTTTAATTAAAAAATCATGAATAATTAGTTAGATTTATTTTCGGCAAACACATCTTTTGGTTTTGATGAAAAAATTGGTTTTATTGATTATTATCATCGAACTATTTGTTATGCATAATCTTTTTTTTATGCATAATCTTTTTTAAGGCCAATTAGATGTGTTAGTTATTTTTGATATTTTTATCTCTATATTTTTAAAAATTATATTGGTATTTATATAATTATAAAAGTAAAATATTTAGGTTAATTTAATCGAACACCATCAGTTTTACTATGTCGACGACGAGAGATAAAAATTGCTCAACAACTATGTTGACGACAAGTGCAATGGTGTACTCAGCATCGAATTTCGAGATGCATATTTTTCTACCGTTGTCACCGTCGTCGAATACGTATGTCGAGAACTCAGCAAGCGCTTGTTTGCCAACCTTCCAAAGCTTCCTTTCTCAATCAACAACAATCATGATAAATAGATTTTTTGCAATGAGCGCCCCCCCCCTCCCTCCCAATTTCTTACCGTCAGCATCAACATAGATGTAGAATAACCCGTATCTCTTACCGTCGCTCTCCTTATCCACAATCGTCACTCGCGACCCCAACGGTGCTATCGTTTGTCGCTACCGACGTTATTTGCCACCAATTAGAACATTAAAATTATTTTTTTATCTTTATTTTTAATGTTTCTATTAATAAAATCAACGACGTTAGGATAAATGGACCAAGACGTTTCACTTTCGTAATCACAGAAATACCAATATAATTTTTTAAAATATAAAAATAAAGATAATTAATTACAAAGAATAATATATAATTAGCCCCCGTATTCCTTAGTTACTCTCGTTAGTTTTGGAGCTGCTACCGTAAAAGCAGACACCTGCGATAGAATGATCGAGAGGTGGGAGCTTGCCGAGGAACAATTTTTTTTGTGCTGCCGCAAATTATTGGCACAGATTACCTCTCAGTAACTTGTGTTAAGCTGACAGGGTTATCAAAGTTTTGCCGGCCAAATTCTGTTTTGTAAATTGAACCAGCTAATCTTATCGAGACTCCCCCTTTGCCTAACCCTTCGGCGTCTTTTTTTTTCCCCCTTTTTTTTACGTGAAAGAATGATTTACCTTTCCTTTTTCAAAAAAAAAAAAACTTGTATTAAGCTTATGAAATCCGACTTGGATGCAACAAACGAGAAACAACTTTATAACCCTAGTCCTTTAAAGCAATCTTCTTGGGGTTGAAAACCGAGCAGTGTGAATAGCAAATGCAATAACGATCAAACAAACTCGATGACTTATTATTGCTCAAGAAATAATATCCCATAGCCTTATATGAAAAATAGTTTCATAGACCAAAAAAAATTATCTGATGAGAAGGATCATCCCCAAAGGTGAACATCACTCAAAACCTTATAATTACAGTGGAGAAGTGCTGCTAGTAAGGAAAAATCTATCATACAAGATTTCCCGTAGAGATCGTCGAAAACACCATCTTTCCGAAGAAGAGAGATGAACATACGAAAGAATTACCTAGACAATAAGCCTATGTGTGATATAAATAAATGGGTGACGCGAGACCACGTGCACTCACCTTATCCAACTGCAGAATATATAGAGGTTAAGCTCCACAACCACTCGGGCAACTTCGAATCGATCTCTTCCCTGATGAAGCAAATCAACCATCTGACGTGCTAAATGGCTCAGACCAGCTACTTAGCATCCTCAGATTCAGCCTCCTACGCCAAACTATTTAGACTGGTTAGCTCCTACACTCAGATTCCCTTGATTCAAAATGAGAAAGGTCAGTTAAACCTCCACCAGCGGTCTCCGATCAAAGAACAGCGATGACTGCATCACTGGAGATGATTACTATATCCAGGCCAGAGAACCTCGATCATTTGCCACTTGAGGACGTCCCCTGGTCGGTGTAGGTGGTCTGTTGGCATTGAGCTCCTGATGAAACATGAAACGAGTAAATAGAATCAGATATAGTTACAATGTACTGCAAGCATCAAAAGGTCCAAAGACCGTGGACTTGTGGAAGAACCCATGTCACACCTGCATCCATGTATCCTCAATGCGACGCTCGGGTGATGTTTCAGGTGAATTGATGACAGGTGGTAAAGGATGAATTAGTTTTGGAACGACCACAAGATCTCTTCCCAAAACCAGGATTGCCCCTGCATTATTTGCAGTTCCTGTATATGGACCAAAAGAAAATTAGAGGAAAGAACATCTAAGCTGACTACTATGCATGCCAAAGATGGATCCTTACCACAATAATTAGTTGCCGAGAAAAGAGTAATCAAATGACCCTGAGCAAAGCGCTCAAAACCATCCATGACACACTCATGTGCTCGTATTATCAACTGGAGGTCATTATTATTGCAGAACTCCATAACACGGTCAGGCTGCCCCAGGCATTAAAATCTCGAAATAAGCACACAGTAGCAGAATAGAAAGTAAAATAAGCCAGACCTAAATCACTAACCCCAAAAGTAACCAAGCCTGGACCCCTAGCATTTGGCCTTAACCCCTCGACGCTGTCATTTTCTGTAGGATCAGACCTGCATGAATAACAACAAAAAACAATTATTTATAGATAAACTATAACAAATATCAGATAGTACTCATTTAATTTTAACTATTAAAATAATTACCATAGAAGATCCATAAGAACTACTGATCCTGTTTCCATTGTGATAGGCCGTTGAAGATTTGCAATCTGCTCTACATGATTTATGGACCGACCGATGCCACCATGCATGCAGATGATTTTCTTCTCAATTAAAGCAGATAAAGGTAGCCAATTGAACAATCGATTAATACGGTGCCAACACCAGATTCCATCTCGCTCTCCCTGTTTCCACATGATGAAAAATCATGATATGGAACAAGCTTTCTCAAATAATCACAATGGTAAAAGACGAGGATAAACATAATTACCATGCGCTCAATGCACTCAGTCCGGAACCCAAATAAAGCATTAATATCTGCTGCCTCATGGTTTCCACGAATTAAATGTACATTGTGAGGACACTCAACCTGCAATATCAATGATAAATATTTGGTTTAGTTTGGTAGACAGACTATTTTCTTAAAAAAATTCACAAGTAGAAGATTGAATCTCTAAGAACTTGCATGTGTCATAAAAACTACCTTCAATGCAAGGAGAAGAGCAATAGTTTCCAGACTATGCTGGCCACGATCAACATAATCACCCAAGAAGAGATAATCAATATAACTGAAAGTGGCAACGATAATACAATATTACAAGCAGAGCACAGGAAAATGAACAAACAAAAGATACTTCAAGACACAGAAAATTGCACTCTTATCATGTTGAGAACTGTTGGTGGAAAACTAATAGCTATTTGCACTGCAATATATGCCAGACAGGTAGAATGGATTGATCAAACTTGGTGTCTTAAGTATCAAACAATGTAACAAAGCAACAAGCCCAGAAAGATAAAAAAAGCTTGATTGTGTCTTAGACCAACTTAAAGAAACATACTTATATTTTATTAGATAACTTCCAGAAAAACCTTCTATTACAGGAATTCTATTGACTTACAATTAATGTACCTAATAAAATTAAAAATACTTACGATATGTCCCCTGCTGTTGAAGGAGCACCATACTCATCAAATAGACGCATTAGATCTCCAAACTGACCATGTAAATCACCAAAGATTTTGACAGGAGCTTTAATTTGTAGAACACTTGGTTCACTAGTGAATATTCTTTCTGCACTATCACAGAGATCAGCAATTTCATTGCAGTCTAAGAAGAACTGCCTGCGTACAGGAGGCTTCCAGCCACGAGGTTTTAATAGATGCGCAATAACCTATATGTTGAGAGCATGAGATTAAGTCACTGTGTGCAAGATACATATTCAACATAGCATCCAATGATCGATAACTGGTTCATAAATATCAAGCCAAAATTGCAAGACTTCATGAAGATTACATGCCGAATATAGCTCTTTATTGCATTATAAAATGGGTTATGCTATGGTACACTAAAGAACATTTTCGTTTCTATGGCTAAAATGAAACTTCGAGCAGCCACCCGTCGTCCGGGACTCTCCTCCACCTCCTCTTCTCCTCCTCTATCACCACCTCTCCCACCTCACCTCCTGTTCTCCTCCTCCTATCCCGCTCTTCTATCCCTCCTCAGACTCTTTACTGCTCAGGCTCAGCAGCAAAGTCACATAGCTGTATCATAACTGCTAGTATGATAAATTTGTACCTTCTATATTAACTGGTCACTCCATAGCACCACCTAATGTAGGCAAAGATTATGATCCCTCGGTTCATATTTTTGGAGAGAGAAGCATTTGTACTGAAGTAAATGCCTTATAAATTCAGTGTTACCTTTTTTGGCACACTATTGATAGACATTTGTCGATCTAATAATTTCCTAGCTGCAGTTGCACTCTCAGGAGTGCCATAGCTGACCCTTCTGCCTTCATTTTCAAACTGATCAATTGAGAGCTGCCTGACCATACCACCCAAAGCACCACCTGTCTCTGCAGCTACAACCACCTGCAGAAAGTTCATGGTAAATTACACAGACCAAGAAAGAAGTTCTGTTCTTTTC